TTACCTTCCTTCTCTTTATCCTTCTTCCTCTTACTTCCTACCAGCAAATATATATATATATGTATGTGTGTGTGTGTGTGTGTGTGTGTGTGTGTGTGTGTGTGTATTCTTGAAAAAGTGGAGGAGAGGAAAGGTGGAGGAGGAAAAGGAGGAGGAAGAGGAGGAGGAAGAGGAGGAGGAGGAGGAGGAGGTGGAGTGAACCTGAGCACAAAGACTCGTCGTCATTCCTCGCGTGTCCTTCTTCCTTTTCCTCCAATGAATCGAATCGATGCACAGCCTTCTATACTTTGATAAACAATTATTTTTTTTTTCTTTTTTATTACCTCTTTTTCCTTTCCTTTTTTTTCCCACCTTTTTCCTTCTTCTTCTTCTTTTACTATCGATAAAAAGAAACGGTACTTAAGTAAGTTTTTGAAAATAAATTCAAAGGACAGAGGGGAAGGAAGGAGGTTATTTTTGTATGAAATCTAATGAATTTCTATTGGTTCTTACAACGGTTTTCTGCTGATCCTTACTAACGGCAGCTGGATATGTAGCTGTTTGTTTTTTTTCTTTCTTTCTTTTACTTTTTTTTCATTGTGGTACACATAACCGTACTCTCGTTTTATTCAATATCTTTTTTTTTCATTTTTACTTTAATATTTTTATTTAAAAAAATAAAAAAATATAATATACACTGATTCTTAACTACTGTAGTTTTTATTTTTTTTTTGTAGTAATAGGAATAAGAATAACAATAATATATAGTATGTGTAAGTATGAATAATTATGTAAAAATTTGTAAATAATATTACAGAATATTTTTTAATAAAATGTTATATATTTCTATCTATCTATCTTAACTTCTGAAATAATTACAAAATATAATATTAATGTTATTGATAATAATAATAATAATAATAATAATAATAATAATATATCGAATCATTATAATTTATTTTCAAAAGGTATTACAATAGGTTAGAATATTTTGTTCACCTATGCATAAGCATTATAAACTTTTTCCTAATAATTATTATTATTATTAAAAAAAATTAGAGATGATAAATTATTTGAAACGATTCCATTGATAATTCACTGATTCTCCTATTTCTAATTGCATATACAATGAATAGTATGATCTGCATACAATACTCTTGCTCGACATAGCAACACGCTTTGAGAATGACCTTCCTTCTTCTTCTTCTTTTTCTTCTTCATCATCATCTTTCTCTTTATCCTTATCCTTCTTTCACTTCAACTCCTTCTTCCGTTCTTCCTTCTTTCATATTCTCTTTCTCATTTCTACATGGACGAGTTCTTCGTTCCGGGGGTTTGAGTTTGCCTCGAAATTCCATGGTTCTATCTTGAATTCTTACAAATGTTAAGAAAACTTAATGCATAATTCGCGGAAACTAACATTTAGATTATCTTCAATATTTAACATATAATTAAACATTTCCATATAAATCTACACACACAAATATATACAGAACATCGTATATCAAAATAATTATCAACATATACATATATATGATATATGATATAAATTAAAAACTTTTTTTTAGCAACGCACATATACACAACAAATTTGTATACACAAGCGCATATACATACACATTGAATTTTAAAGGTTCATATGTTGTTAGCCATTGTTCAGTCCCAGACACATTATGGAAAAGCATGCGGGCAGGTAGACGAAAGGCCAGATAGAGAGCTAGTGCGAAAATATTCTCTCTCTCTCTCCCTCTCTCGCTCTCTCTTTGTCTCTCTTTCATGTGAGATCCACTTCGAATCTCAGGTCAGGGATTCAGGTGGGCCTGGTATCACCCCTCTCTTTGTCGACATCCGACGAGCTGCCACCGAGGTTAAATACCTGCTCTCGAGTCCTCCGTTCCAAACAGACGAGACGGTCCTTGATATATTCTGCATCATTCTCACTCTCCCCCCCTCTCTCTCTCTCTCTCTCTCTCTCTCTCTTTCAACTTAATATCTTGCTTTGTGCTACTGAGAGAGAGTTGTCTTCTATTCTACACAAAATTCATACTATATCTCGTAACTTATTCAAAGTTCGATGATTTAATACTTACGATTGAAACAAATCTTATTAATTTTGTACACTAGCGTTAGTTCATGAATCATGCACGTGTTTCTAAGTGCATATACGTTTTTTGCATTTTTTGTACTCATGTCAGTCATATATACGTTTCACACGTGTATTGCTTCGTGTGCGTATGGTTGAGAATATTTAAATGACAAACATATTAAGAGATTTAGCTAAGAATCTGCTTGAACCCTTCTCTCAAATGACATATCGTCATGTTTCGCAGTCCTTTCACCTTTCCCTTTTACCGATCTCTACCATCACAGATAGACATTTATCATTTCGTTTCGTTTCGTCGTCACCATCGAGAGATACTCAATGATTTCCTTTTACCTGGCTTATTCCGAAGTTACATTGAACGAGTAAATAAAAACACTACAAAATATCATCTCGAAGTTCTTTCAGCCTTGAAACATTCTCTCGGTATAATTCATTTTCGAAATAACAGTGGATTGTTTTATAATATTTTAACATTTATCGAACTATCGTGTATATTTATATATATATATATATATATGGTTTTTTCTGTTTCTTTTTTTTTGCTTTTCTTTTCTTTTCTTTTTTTCTTTACTTTAATCGCGTTACATAATGTAATAAAAATATCCTTTTTTTTCGAGAGGTATAATAAAATATTTTACACGTGTAATTATTTTTTATATTCCCCACGATTGTTGTGAAATATTTTTTTTCTTAAATATAAATCATCAATTTAAAAAAAAAAAAAAGACAAAAAATGAAAATCAAAAGAGACGAAGAATATTCGTAATACGTTATCGAGAGTTATATAAAATGGCTGTGCAAATTCAGCCATACTTTTGGCAGGCTGACTCAACGAAAGAACAGCTGGTACTGGAAGGGATCCTCGAAAGAACCCCACTACACCCTGTATCCTCTAATATCAGATCCAAGGGAAGAGGCTATGGGGTTTCTCTGTACTCTCTTTCTCTAACTCATTCTCTTTTATCCAAATGAATCTCTTCTTCGTTCTATCGATCTTCCCATCGTGATACCCATAAAAAAAGAAAAAAAAAAGAAAACCGGGGACAATGAACAATAAAAAAAGAGAACATTGGCGTTCCCTGTACTTCAATTTAGTTTTATTTATTTCTTTTTTCCATTAACTAACATTTTCTCTCTCTCTCTCTCTCTCTCTCTCTCTCTTTCTCTTTCTCTCTTTCTCTTTCAGTTCTTTTATTTCCACGTGTTTCCAAGGTCAAAACGATGCAGAAAATTTAATAGGCGGGCAAACGGGGTTCATCGATCGATTCTCAGTTAAAAAGTTCGTCGTCGAAAAGCTGGGGACAATTTTTCCATGGCGCATAAAACGTTTCATTCTTCCTCTCTATCTCTCTTCATCTATCCATCAATCTATCTTTCTTTATCTACATATATACATATATATATATATACATAGTATATATGTAATGTATATCGATACTATGTGCAGGCACGTATATTTTTACAGGCTTAATTCGTCGACCGACCGCTTGAATTTTGGAAGGGGGTCTCTCTTACTCTCTTTTTCTCTCTTTCTCTTTCTCTCTCTACGTGAAACGGCGACTGCAACCAAGGGAGAACCCTCGAATCCCTTTCTGATTTCCCTCTCTCTCTTTCTCTCACTCTCTCGTATATCAATCTATCTTTCTCCATCATCGTACAGTCCCCTCGAATAAATATTTCGGCAGCAAAGCCGACGATAACGTTGGCTTACATTGGCGTAACATACTCTTTACAATCTCTAACAATTTCACCCAACATTCGTTTGTTATTACCAAAAGCATCATATATTCAAATAATATATCAACAGAAAACAAATGTAAATTTTTTATTTTAATCTACATTCAAATTTTTAAAAATTATTGCTCTTCCTATGATAAGACAAAAATCATTTTTCGAGTTTATTAATTATTCTTATTAATCATATAATAATAATAATAATCGATTATATCATGTAATGTAATATTATGTAATGAAAAACAAGAAGAGAAAATATTTTCTTCTACGTCAATGTATAAATTTAGGGTTCATTAGTATCATGGAAAAGGGCATACGAAGTGGTCGCTACGGGACTGTACCGCGTACTGTGCTTTACGTGACCCCCACTACTGGCAATTATATTCGGTTGAGTTCGGAAGCATTCGTGTTTGCTATTCGTCACGGGGCGGCGCTCGATGCGCGTCAGAGTAAGCGCGCACGCCACACGCTGTCAGTCTCCTCCTGGTCAGTACAGCGACCGTTTGTTCTTCCGTTTAGGTCTCTCGTTCCGTCGTTGTTCTTTCTTTCATTTTTTAAACTTGTGCTGCTGTCCTTTTTTTTTTTCTTTTACTCTTTATAAGTTTTTCATCTCGTCTTATCCTCCAATCTTCTAAAACTATCGTAACACGTACTCCATTGCTACCTCCAATTCCACAAGAATTATATAAAATATATAAAAAAAGAAAATAATAAATAACGGTGATGTATTAGTTTTGAAATTCACGCGTTAGTTAACTGGTAGTGAAAAAAAAAAAGCATAAAATATACATCGTATGTATATATATATTGTACCAATACGTGTAATTAGAAGAAGAAGAGGACGAAGAAGAAGAAAGACTTTCACTTGGATAATTAATAGTAATAATAATAATCATAATAATCATAATAAACAAATAATTAAATAAGTAAATAAATAAATAAATAAATGAGGATATACAGTAGATAGAATCTTAACGGAAGGAACAGTGGTGTGCTTACGGTGTTTCCGACAGTGTGCAATATTTTTTGTTTCTTTTCTTTTAACGTTTTCTTATTTCATAAAGAAGAAGAAAAAGAAGAAGAAATAAGATTAACAAAATTGATAATATTAATAAAAAAGACGAAGAGCACTACGACAGGAAGAAATAATAATAATAGTAGTAGCAGTAATTATAATAATAATAATAATAATAATAATAATAATAATAATAATAATAATAATAAAAAGAGAAGGAAGAATAAAAGCAGCAACACGAGAGGCATCGTTGTGTCACGTTTGTGGAATACGTTGTGCAACGAAATATGGATTGGGCGGTGAAGGCTCGACGAACGTAAGTTTTCTTCTTCATCATCTCTTGGTAAAGAAAGAAAGAAAAAAATAAATAAAAAACCAGAAGGAAAAAGAACAAAAAATATAAAGAGAAAATGTTAAAAACTCATCGCGCGTTGTGTCATCTTTCATGTGTTGTTTATTGTTCTTGAATTTTTTTTCCGCATTTTATTCCTACACGGTTTCGAAAGAAAGAGAGAGAAACATACACGCACGTACTAGACACGCGACACGCACGTACGCATATACACACACAAACTTACATCATACATAAAACATACGTATATTTGTATATTAATTTATATGGAAAATTGATCAACAAGAGTGTTCGTGCAATTTTGTGCAATTTTATTTAAAAGAAAAAAATACACACACACACATACAATATAAAAATTAAATGTTTTTTTTCTTTTTGGAGAATCTCGTCGGAAATACGTCGTAACGATAGTAACAACAAATTAAATTGTATTAATACTAATAAATAAATCGTGTGTTTCGATTAAATATTAAAAGAAAGAAAGGAAAGAACAATATATATATTGTGTACACACACACACAACATTAGATATATCTCTCTTTCTCTCTCTCTCTCTCTCTTTCGTTGAAATTAACGTACGATTCAACCCCCTTGCATTCGTTTCTTTCTTTTTCTCGTGTATATATTGCATATAAAATGACGTGTAATCCGTATCTGTATATGCCTATATGTTTTTTCTTTTTTTCTCTCAATTTTTTTTTGTTTTCTTTTTTTTTTTTTTTTTTATATATGTGGTATATGAGTAAAAGGAAACACAACCAACCCCTTTTTCGATCGCAACGACGACGCCGTCGTCGTCGTCGGGGGGATCGATCGTTTCGCTTGGGGCGAGGCTTGCTCCGATCGTGCGTCGATCGTTATTTTCCGTGATAGAGAAAGACAGAGAGAGAGAGAGAGAGGGAGAGAGAGAGAGAAAACGAGAGAGAGATAGAGAGAAAGAGAAGAATATATTGTAAATAGAAAATCAGAGATCAATGACACCCCGTATTCGTTTTGGAGGGAAAACATTGAAATTCACTTTCGTTACTTTCCTTTTCTTTCAAATATTTCCATATACATCGAATATATTCGTTAACATATATCTCATGTAACACATGTCCTTGTTAATATCCATGTTTACGTATATATGATATTTAATTCTATTTAATTATTATCTCATATCACACTTTTATCTATCTCTATAAAGTATATATATATATACTTTTATTTAATACATCGTTTTTAACTTTGTGAAGTAGAACGGTATTAAAAGTATCGCTACCTTTTTTTTTTTGATGCGTAAATGTACACGTTGGGATTATTCGAGTTTTTTACTTTATAATAAAAAATTTAATTTTTTCTTTTTTCTTTTTTATGTTACGTGCTTCAAAAGGATTAACAAAAACATCAAATATCATATAGTTTTATTAGAACGTAACTGTTGAAATTTATATTATATTTTTAATAATATATCTTTGTTATTATTAAAAGAGAAAGGATATTCATTAATAACATTCGAAATAATATGATTCTTATTAATCTAGATTTCTCAGAGTTGTTAACATAAATTTGTGTGTTACAGGGAGGTGGGATGGGGGTTCTTGTGAAATAGTTTTGAAAGAAACTTACCAACTTCCTTCATATAATATATATATATATTTGTTACCATATGTGTATGTGTTAAGGATCAAAATTGGAGAATGTCAAGATTCACATGTTCGTTTGTCAACATATACCAAATACATTGGTACCAAAAATGACCGAATATTTGGGAGTTTATACTTTTAAATTAATATTTTGAACATACACAACAAGCGACGTTATTCAATTTCCGATCTTTCATGTTAATACACATATATAAATATATGTCTATTACCATCTTATATGTTATACACATATATATTTCAAATACTCTTTAACGTGTGTTGATGAACACGACGTAACATATTTCTTATTCCTTTTATCTTAAAACGTTATCATTTTCTTTTCTTTGAACATACCCACCACCAACGCATAACCGTGTTTAATAACATAACAACAATGGGCATCGATGTGATACTAAAAGTAGGGAACATATGCGTGTACGATAAACGTTGAGAGAAACTGCGCCGGAAACCAAATGGCTCGATGGATGAGTTAGAGTACTGACGAGATCTATGATAGAGAAAGATATATATATATTTATAGGAAGAGTATGTGTATGTGTGTTGTAAGAGAGAAGAGTGGAAAGAGAGGAAAAGAGAGAGAGAGAGAAGAGTAAAAGCGAGGAAAAGAGAGAGATATATTATTCCCTCTTTCTCTTGGCCAAGTTGGAGACTTAAAGTGATAATAATAGATGTGTACGCTATCCGCACACGTGCTGTCTCGTTTATGAGTCGAGTTTATCGAGAACGTTAGAGAGAAAACATTTATTTATTTCAAAAAGTCAGGTTCAACGTCTAACGAAAATATTTAGAGATAATTTGCTATCTTTCATTTTTTTTCTTTCTTTTTTTCATTTTTTTTCTCTTTTTCATATATATATGTACTTATTTTTCCATTCTTTGGAAAATTATTTGTTTTAATTTTTTATTTTTTTATATTGTTTTGAATGCAATTTATTTTGTTTATTCGTCAGCGTTCTGTAATGTTCTTTTTTTTTATTTTATTTCGTTTTGATAAGTAATAAAATATTTATCGTCCGACTAAAGAAGATTTTTCGTGAATTGTTTTTTATACTACGATGTAATTAGATTTATTTCTGTTTGTTGTATTGTTGGAATTTTTAAAATATATATAGATGACAATTTGATTGATTATATTTTGTGTGCGTGTGTGAAGGTAATTTTTATTTAATATAAAAATTTCTAATAAATTTTTAATTCGAAATTTGCGTGTTTGCATTTAGATGGTTTATTGCAAAATAAAATAAAATAACTACGATAGAGAGAAAGAGAAAGAGAAAAATAAGAACAATTTTATTATTATTATTATTATTATTATTATTATTATTATTATTATTATTATTATAAATAAACGATTATTTTCTAATATTATTTTGTTAATTTTATTATTTTTTAGCGTATTGGAAGTATAACATTATCTTTTTTTTTTATTATTCTTACATTTTTATTCAATAATAATGAGTGCCTAGTGAAAATGCATATTATATATATATCTTTATATTAAATCTTTCTCTTTCTTTGAAATCTTTAAAATCGTCATGACGATTAGAAGTGAAAGGACGGAAATTACGGAGCAAACATTCGTTTCCTTTCTTACGTTTCCTTCCAACTATAATACTTGCGTTTACACGCTATGACACTTAACTACAAAAACGAACTAAACTAAGTATTAAATTTGTACGAACTCATTTAGCAATCATATTTTTTAATAATAAAAATTAATAAAATTCGTACGAGAAATAATAAAACATTTTAAACATTTGTCGTAATTCATCGAATTTATTTTATCATCCTTCGTAGTCGCATTTTAAGAAAAAGATTTATTTATTTATTTATTTATTTTTTTTCAAAGAGATGAAATATAATAAAAAATATATATTTATATATTTGAAAGGGAGAAGAAAAAAAGAAAAATAAGAGAGGTATAGCTTGTATTCGTGTCACGCGTTTCCTGGATATATGCTAATACCCATATATGAATACGACAATATTCGGCGACTTTCAACATCCATTTTCGACGATGACGATAACTCCAACAGAAAAGAGAGAGAAAGAGAGAAAAAAAAACCCTAGTAACAATTTACCACCGTTCATTTAAAAGAAGAAAAAAAAACAGAAAAATTAATTAAAAAACTAAACTCTTTCAATGCAAACTCACTTATTAGAAAGTATAAAAAACTATACGGAATTTGTGAATAATATTTTATATAAATATTTCGAATTTTCTATTCCCCAATCGTAATTATCTTCATTTCATATATATATATATATATATATTCAGAAAATAATGAAGAACAAAATAATATATTATTTCAAATGCCCAATTACAGAAGTGTCGAAATATTTGAAATTAAATTTACTTAATATTTAATATTATAACTATTCTAACTTTTTTTTTTTATTTCTACACGATATTCTACACGATTTATAAATATATAATATTCCAATATAGTGTTAATAACATTTAATCAATCTTTATACAAATTTTCCTTAACACATAATATTCAAAAACAAAAAATACATATACTCGAATTTATTCAAGAGTTCTCTTTTCTTCTCTTTCTTTCTTTCTATTTTATATTTTAACTACTTTCTATATTTGTTCATGGTGTGGTCCTTAAAGGAAGTAAGTACTTGGACGATAACTGGCCTACTTTAATTTCGTAGGGCTTGGCAGTTTGCTTTTTAAATTCCAAACGAGAATAACCTTTGTTCTTAGATACGTTCATCTCTCTGGCTCTCTTTCTTTCTCTCTCATTCTCTTTCATTTTATCTTTCTCTTTCTTTCTCGTTTTTTTTTCTTTATTTCTATTTCCATCTTTCGAAAATTTTTTCATATATATATATATATATATATATATATATTTGCAGTAAAAATGGTAAATAAAATCTTATTTTATTTTGTACGATTATATAGTTGTCATTATTATAATTATTATCATAATAATAATAATACATGTTTTACAGTAGAAATAGAATTAATTGTAAGTAATATCAACTCGTGTTGTTTTATTTAGTTGAACTAGTATAACGTTTAGTCGTATATTCATTCAAAAGTCATTTTAGTTTCGATGACACACTTTAAAACATCCTGTTCTGTTACTCTAATCGCTTACTGTAAACCTCGTAGAAAATGTGTTCCTTATCTCTCTTCCTTTAATTATGACGTCATTGGCTTTATCCGAACCTTCACGAGATCGTATTTTATATTCGTACTTACGAATTAAGATTATTTTTTGTTTTCTTTTATCTTATAATAATTTTCTCTCTTTTATTTATTCTGTTTTCTTTTTGTTTTATTTTTTTTTTTTTTTTATATCTGTTTCTTTCAATGGGAATCACAAATAATTTGCACGATTGAATATAGAATGAAAATATTGAATGAAATTTTGTATTATTTTAGTATAGAATGAGAATGAGAAATTTGTTATTTAGTTAGTCGAGTATAAAATAAGAATATTGAATAAAATTTTGTGTTATTTTAGTTTAGGTCTTACATTAGATAGTTTAGATTAGTTTGATTAGATTGATAAATGGTTCGGTTAGATAACATTTCTATTTGGGGGCGGGGAAGGAATTATTTTACGTTGAAAAAATAAAGAAGAAGAAAAAACATATAAAAAAAAAAAAAAATTAAGAAAATTTGTATTGTGTAGGTTTGTGTTAAGAAAAAGACGTGGAGAATGACTCCTCTTCTATTTTTTTCTTTCAGACTGGACCGTTTCGTAGCGAGCAAAAATGAAGACACGAGGTACAGACAGCTAACCGTTCAGAGAGCTAAACGAGCGTACGTTTTTTCAATTCTAATCATCAATCAATCCCGTGTGATTCATTTTTTGGAGCACGCTTTAAATATATATATTTTTTTTATTTTTTATTTTCTATTTTTTATTATATTTATCCGATTTATTATCGTCGACTATTACTTTCCTTTAGATAGAAGAAAAACAAATATACTATAATAGTAATTAGAAAATGATATATTTTTTTTTGCACACAAACAACACACACACACACAGGTATACACAGAGAAAAAAATGCAACAGAAAGAAAAAGAAAGAGAGAAATTAATTTTTTTATATTAAAAACTAAAAAAAAAAAAAAAGAAATATAAGGAAACACTAATTGTAAGTGTGTCATCATTATTATCATTATCATCATCATGTTTTGGGATCGTTCATAAACGTGAATAAAAAATCATAAGAAATTAATAATTAAAATTAATCAGGAAAATTAAATTCCAAATAATATTTAAAAAAAAAAAGATCAAATTAATTTATATTTGGGAAAAAAAATATGTGTGTATATATATATGAACGAAATAAAGTTAGAAATGTTTAGGATTTGTTAATCGAAATAAACTTGGGTGAGTTTGAATCGTTTACATTTTAAAATACGCGTGAAAATAGCAAAGTAGAAGTAAAAGGGGACGTGATTATTTGGCTTTTAGAATCAAGTCTCTAGAGCACGTTCTTCTAAATCGTGTCGTCATCATAGAAACTAGAATTAAAGAGGAATAAAAAAGGAGAGAAAGAGAGAGAGAGATTGAACAGCAAAATGATGCCAACGACATTATACACCACAGGGAACGCACCAGATCAGTAACAACTACCCATTTCCCCATTCAGTTTTTCTTATTATTATTCTTTTTCTTTCATTCGATCATTTTCTTCTTTCTTGCTTTAATTTTCTTTTTTTTTTTTATTTTTTTTTTTATTTTTTTTTTCTTCGTTTTTCCTTTCATGCTTCATTGCAGTTTTTAATTAATGCGTGAGATGTGCTTACTATCGCTATTTCAATTTATTTTTTTATTGAATTTTTGAATTATTATTGAATAGTAATTAGAATTAATCGATAGAAATTATATTTTTTAAATATATGTTTAATATTCTGATTTATATATATTATTTTTTTATTTCTTTCTTTAAAATTTATTCTTTTCTTGTGTATGTGTGTTTAATTATCATAAAAAAGAGAAAAAAAAATAGAAATAAAAAATTATTGGAGTCTATGAAAAAAGTTTCGTCAATGATTTTTCGATACGTGTCTACGAATAAGTGATCAGTCAATGAACGTGTCTATGAATAAGACGAATTTTGGAATCAATTGGATCAATTGAATTTTTCGATACGAATCTACGAAGAATTTATCAATGATCGCTTTTATGAATGAGACAAAATCACTTTCGTTTCATTCATTTACTAATCATACTGTAGACACATTAAATATTTTTAAATATTTTAACTATAGAGTAAAATCATTGACTAATCGCACCATAGACACATGAACTTCTAAAAAAACGTTTTATTATGTAAACAAATCATTGACTAATTACAACCAAAAATACGCTATATTTTAAAATACATTTTATTACATAATCAAAAATCATTGACTAATCCACAATCAAAGATATATAAAATTTTAATATGAAATACTAATATTAAAAAAAAAAAAAAAAATCAAAAAATCATTAGAAAAACATTAACGAAAATTCCCTTATAATTAAAATTATCTATATCTTTAATATTAATTGACAAAAAAAATCATTGACTATTCACACCATAGATACGCATATAATTTTCAACGATAAACTTTTTTACATCGTTTAAACAATTACATCTGTTAAATTGTTTTCATTTTAAAATCAATAAATTTTAAACAATCACACACACACATACACACAAATCGTATAGACAAACTAACTTCATCGTAGAGATTATTCATCCATTATGATTTCATTTTTTTTTCAAAAACTAAATATTTTTAACTTTACCCCCTCTCTCTCTCTTTCTCACTTTCGTGTTCCTAGTTAAGAAAAGGTAATCGATAAATAAAAGCAGACGTTTAGAGTAGGCGGTTTAGAAGTTGAGTTATTAACTACTATTACGCGTAACTCCCTGACACAATGTCCCACATATAACCGTGTAAGAAAATAAAATATTCATCGTGTTTCCCTGCCACACTGTTTGGTTAATTAAAGTCGGCCTACCACCATCTACCTACCTACCTACCTAACTCTACGTTCTCCTATTCTCTTCTCTTTCTCTTTCTCTTACTCTTTCTCTTTCTCTTTCTCTTTCTCTTTCTCTTTCTCTTTCTCTTTCTCTTTCTCTTTCTCACTTTTATGATCCTCGAACAGAGCGTTAATTGCACGACACCCCGAAGAGAAATTCTAGTGGTCCTTCTAATTTAATTAACGTTCCACGGGTAAATGCGTTTTTCTTCTATCACCCTACCCTACCCCTTCCCACCCTCTCCTTTTTTTTGCTTTTTACCGTATTCTTTTTTTTTGGAGCTTTTTTCTTTTAATTTTGTTCTTATTTTTCTTCCTTTTGTTATTGATTTTTGAAAATAAACATTTATGTGATTCTCGTTGCATGTTTAATCAACTTCCTCAACACACACACACACACACAAATATATATTCCATGAAGAATATCCTCTCTCATAAAGTTAACTTCTAACGAGCCCAAATTGTATCCTTGAAAACGTGCCATATTACAAATTTCTTTTTGGAACTTTCGAAAAATATAAAAAAAAAATTATTAAAAAAACCCATGTTGTGTGTTCATATTTCAACGATAATACGATGTAAGATCGATGCGTATTATTAGGATACATTAAAGCTGATGTATCGTAAATACATACTCTCCGTGCAATACGCTTTTATTTCTATAAAGAAATTAATATTACACGCGAATCAAGATCAATTTACAACATGATCCCCATAACGATTATAAAAGTTTCTTTAAAAATTTGATTGTTGGTTACGCTATATATATATTTTTTTTTGTTCTTTTTCTTTTTCCTTTCTTTTAAATTTCTTTTTTTGTTTTTTTTTTGGTTCAATCATAATTTGTCGATTAATTAAGGGATTATACTAAATTATCTTTCAAGTTGAGAGAACATAATGGAACGGGAGAATGGAAATTCTGTATTACAAATGAGATTTCGAACCACCACAACCCCGCCCTCGCCCCCGCCCCCTTTTCTCCAAATCCATTCAAACCTTTCACCTCCTTCTGCCTCTTGTTTCTTCTCTTCTTTTCCTCATCCTCCTCATCTTCTTCTTCTTCTTTTCCTTCGTTTTTTAGGACCACCCACTCAATAAACTAAACCTTTCTAAGCCTCGATAATTTCTCGAGAAATTTAAATACAATCGCTTTGTGACTTGAAGAAACGAAAACGTTTGTTCCATTTATAAATTTGCTTTCATTTTATTTCTTCTCTCTTTTTGTATTGTTATTTTCTTTTTTTTTTATGGATTCGTTTTAGGTCATCTCATACTTTTTTTTGGTTTTCTTCATATGCAAGTTGCAAGTGTCATTGGCAAAATGCATTTGGTTTATTCTTATCAAGAAAATCCTTTACATCGTATTCATATTTTATCATTGTAAATTAATCATTGAATTTTTAATTTGATTTAAAAGATAGTTATACGAGTTATCAGATAATATAAACTTACAGTCCTTTACTACGTGATACCAAATTTCAATTTGTAAATGTAGAACAACACATAACCCTGCCTAATTCGGGTGCTCGCGTACACGAATGGTTGGTTAAACGTGATCGGTATACGAATTGTTTTCATTTTTGTCGTACCAATACTCTGAATAAAACACATTTGCTTTTTATTTATTTTTGTTATTCGATTTTTTCTATTTATTTTTTTTTTTTCGCAATTTTTGTGTCCTACATCATTTTCATAGTTACAAAGAAAAAATAAAATAAAATACAAATTGTAGATAATTGTATTTTTTGAATTCCAATTTATTTACAACAAAATAATATAACGTCTTTTCAATCTTATTTATTGAAAAAATAAAAAAATAAAATAATTTAAAAGAAAAAAGAATATTATTTTTTTCTAATTTATTTCTTTTTTGCACTATTTTTATCGAACACACACACGCACACACACACACTGATGTATATATTTATATATGAATGTATATATGAAGAAACGCTTTCTCGACTTTGAGTTAAAATCTAGAACTCGTTAAAACGAAGGGCAAACTCGAAGTTTTCATGTGCGCCAGTTCAAGCCCATACATATATAAACATTTATACATATCATATATATACATATACATATGTAAAAAGGACGATGGAAAGCCTTTGAATATGAGTCGCACGTAGGCCCGTTTTTTCTCCGGTTTCATGTTTCCTTTTTTTCTTTTTTTATCGGCCTTTACGTAATCTCTTGAAGATCGATAAAGTCAAAAGTGGTTGGTGCAATTGAGAAAGATATCTTTATTTTTTTCCCCGTCCCCTTCCTTCCAACCAACCAACCAATCAACCAACCAACCATTTTCACAAAAATCACGTTCACGACAAGCTTGAGCACCATGCGCGCTACGTTTTAATGGTATTTTAAATATTTGTCATAGATAAAGAAATTGAACAGATAAATTCTTTGACCAATTTATAAATAAATATTTCATGATAATATTTATATGAAAAAGAAAAAGAAAGAACAAAAAAAAAATAACTTTAAATTAAAACATATTAACCATCAAAAGAAAAATTAACTTGTAATTTTTAATACATTTATTTACCATTAGATAAACTATTATAACTTTTGATTTTCTCGTTAATATATACCAAAAAAAAAAAAATGAAATCATCTCTTCAATATTAATTTATTAATCGAAGAAAAGAAATTTATACTTATCAAACAATTTTAAGTCCACCTAAAAGTTATATTCTACAAATAATATACATAAAAGAAAAAAAGAAAAGAAAAAAAACCTGCTAGAATTTAGTCATCATAGTCTAATTTAGTCT